ATATTTGCTCGTCTTCGTTCTTTATGTATAAGCTGTTTTACAGTCTTCAACACGCTTAATACTAATTGTTTCTCGTTTGTATCGTAAAATATTACGTTGTTTTTTATCGCACGTTCTACCTCGATTACAACCACACATTACGATTCGATCTCAGATCGATTTACACTGTTTCTTCGTACAAATATAAATTAAAATGGCACAAGATATTTTAATCAAGAAAAATACGCACTGTCGAAACATTCGCAGGTAAGTACAAAAGTCTATGATTACTGTTATCAAAGTCACCATGAATATTATCAGTGGACTACCGATGTTTATGCAAATCCATATTTCTTCTAGTTTTGCATCCCTATCGAACACTTTGAATATGTTTTTGCACACTGTACGCGTATCGTGCAAACTTTCGTAGCATTAACACCTGAATTCAACTTACTCGCTATGCTAAGTAACAAGGATAGAAACTTCAATTATCTCAGGCTACTTGAATTCAAGTTAATCAAAGTGGTGAATTGAGAGTAAACGAGACACAGACAGATTCCCTATATAAATACATAAAAATCCGCAGTCCAATCGTCACTTGTACACAATACACAATAATATCGCAAAGAAATCTCTGTCCTTTGGAGACAGGCGGTCACACCGTCAGTTCGCTGACGCTTTTCCTGCCAAGTGGCACAGGAGGCGAGGACAAATGAGCGTCGGGATGTTTCCTCCTGTGCTCTATCATGTAAGTCCTCCTCTTGAAGGAGTGTCCACAGAGGTCGCAGACGTGCGGCCTCTCCGCCGAATGCGTCAACAGGTGCATGTTCTTCATGTGGGAGGTTCGAAAGTTCTTCTCGCAAACGTGACAGGTATACGGTTTCACGCCCGTGTGCGTGGTCGTGTGAGTGGCCAGGTACCTCTTCGAGGCGAACACCTTACCGCACTCCTTGCACTCGTACGTTCGGCTGTGTTGCTGCATGTGACTGTCCAGGTTCTCCTGCGTCAACAGCCGCTTGTTGCAAACGCCGCACTGGAACTTGTAGTCGTTCAAATGCACCACCTTTCGGTGCTTGTACAGGGAGTAGTCGCTCGTGTAGAATTTCCCGCAGATATCGCACATGTGCTGCGAGCTGCTGTGAGTCCCGACGTGGAACTTCAGGTCCCACTCCATCTTGAAACGCTTGCCGCAGTGTTCGCAGGCGAACTTGTAGTCGTCCGTGTGCCGTCTGATGTAATGGGACTTGAGGTTGCTCTTCGCCTTCGTGCGGTAGTCGCATTTGTCGCAGCAGTGCAGCAAACTCGAGTCGACGTCCTGGTGGATCGAACGATGAGCCTTCAAGTCGCATTTGTACATGAAGGTCTTGTCGCAGGTGGAACATTTGAACGGTCGATGGAAGCTGTGCTTGCTGGCGATATGACGGAGAACCTTCCTCTTCTGTTCGAACGTTGTCTGACAGATATCGCAGGTATAAGTACCGTCGTGCAGCTTCTTGTACAGATCTCCCTGTTCCGTTACAGACTCTCGCAATTTCTTCGGGCAATTGCTGGCACCCAGTGACAATTTCTTGCTCGTGGAATTCTTCGACGAGGCCCTCGCTTCGTCGTTTATTCTTTTACGCTTGGAATTTACGTTCTTCGTCTCGTTGCTTCGACTGGAGTTGTTCAAAAGTCTGCCGCTTCTGCGTCTGTGGTTCTCCGACACTCGAAACGCGATTCGTCTTTGAAGAATGCTGGCCGAAGGTTTGCGAGACGTTTTTAATTGGCCTTTCGTTCGATTAGCAGCGGCCGCTTTGTTCTTCGGCGTTAAACGCTGCGTTGGTTTCCTAAAACACGAATGAAAATAGTCAATAAAAGTTCATGCTCACTCTTTCGTTGTTTCTTCCTGTATTCTAATCGAAACGTGAGAATAGAAATGAATTGGTCGTATGATACAATTTTTTAAGATACGTTTTCTATTTTGCAGATGAAAGTAGAATATCTCTAGTATTTTAACAGCTAGGTTTTCGAGAATGTTAGAGATGAATTTCGAAACTAACTTTTTAAATTCTCGAAACTTGAAGTGTTGGTTTCATTTTGTAGGAGAAATTTCTTGTTTCAAGAACTGAAATTAATACTTTTGCATAAATTTTTATTGGCGTTTTACTATAGTTATAAGCAAAGACATAATAATCTAGATTCTTGTCTAAGAATACTAACATTTTTAAAGTTTTCTTTCTCAATCCGATTTATTTTTTTTTTTTCTTGGTCAATTATAGTGGTGTAGTAAGATATTATTTTACACTATCATTCCAGGATTACTTATCCCTAAAAATGAAAATGAGTTTCGAGAATTTCGAATCACGAAATTTCCTTGAGTTTCGAATTTTCGAAATCCATCCCTAATAAATATTATGTAATAAATTATAAGCTATTAATAAATGTAGTCGAATATTTATTACTTACAAGAGACTTAATTGGAAAACTAGAATTTTATTGAAGATTTTAAATAACACAAACTGAGTCTTGTATCCCAGTATTTAGAGAATATTCACTGAAATCTTAACATCTTTTTTTAATTTAAAAAAAGAAGAAAAGACAACAAAGACTTTTTCTACAACTTCAATATATATTTCTCATTCATCACATACTGATGTAGATAATTGTTCTTGATATTTTTCTAAAGATAATTTATTATTCACTGTTATAATATTTATCTTCTATATGGAATAACAAGGTCTAGCTATCTTCCCCTTTGATGGTAATTTTCATACAAAACACATTTTTCACGGAACGGATATTCTTACTCATTATTATTAAATTATAATACTTACTTTTTCTACCCTGAGTTTCACAAATTATCATAACAAAAAAAATTCCTGTCTTCACGCTTTGAAATTCATTTAACGACACTACAATATTTATAAGAAAAGAGAAACATACAGTTCCAGAAATATTTGATGCTTCTTACATTACTTTATTTTGTACTTACAGTCTTCGTTAATGAAATATTTTCGCTTACATGCAAAGGAATATTTCAAGCATGATATTTGAATGTTATTTCAAATATGTGTTCAATACTTGAAATAAATAAAATAAACATATGTCCGTAGATATTTCTCGTATAATATAAGTAAATGAACTATAATTTTATTGAAGTAATTTTACTATGCTATGCAGTGCTGATTTAATCATTTCGCTATTGTGGACGAGATATTTCGCCTGGAATATGTTGGCTGTGTAATATCACTGACAAACTGGAATTTGGAATTGTACAAGCAGTATAAAGCAAGATATCTCGTCGATGATACTCCACAGCTGACATAGTTTGTGTCGTCCACGGTGGCGAAAGAATTAAAAAGATAATATCGTGTTACAATATCAAAAAGGCAAAAAATACAAAATTACAGGTAAAGTAGGAGAAAAAAAAGAAAAAAAAAAAAGGAAAGATTTACTCTTGTTCGTTTTTGTGCGCTTGCCGATGCTTCAAGAACGAAGCCTTATACTTAAACACAGCTCCGCAAGTCTCACAGTTAAAGCTGAGCAAATGTCGTTGCATGTGCCTGTCTAGTAAACTTTTGTTCTTGAATCGCCACTTGCACTTGGGACAATTATACACTTGGCTCGACTCGACCTTTTTCTGCGCTGTCGCATAGTCCACGTTTCGGTTCCTAATACCTCTCCAACGCATACGATCGCAAGGCTTTTTCCGTTTCTTGGCCAAGTACCAGTGCTTTCGAAGGAAAAACATGTTTCGATACGTCCTACCGCAAATGTCGCAGCAACACGGCTCGATCAAATGTTTCAGCTGATTGTGCCTGGTCAGATCGCTGTTCAACTTGAACACTCTCGAGCAAATGTCACACTTGAAATTGGCGTGCATCGAGTGCTTCCTGATTTGATGACGCTTCATGCTTGGCATTCGCTTCGACCTGAAATCGCACTCCGAGCACTCGAACATCTTGTCGCTCTCCTCGTGCAGCTTCATGTGAAGGTTCAGCGTCCTCTTCGTTTTCAAGAACTGATGGCACACCGAACACTCGACCCGTGTGTTACTGTGAGTCGCCAAATGTCTCTTCAACTCGTACTTCCTTCGAAAGACCCTGGAACAGTAGTCGCAGCAATTCGACGTCTTCTTGTTACTGGTGGATGACGCTGGAATGCTTGCGGAACTGTTGGAACCCTGCTCGAACCACTGTGACAATTGCAGAGGCATTTCAACAGGCAGATCCTGCGAAAGTGATTGCGGAGTTTCGTCGGTCTGAGGTCTCTCGACTCGTTCGGCTAGTTTGAGTAATTGTTCAGACGTCTCTTCCGGTATATCGTGTTCCTCCGACTTGATGACCATGCCCCCTGCGATGGATAACCTTCCGCCGGGCTTTTCTATTAATTCTTTGTGATCCACGGGTAGCAGGAAATATTTGTCAACGTTTTGCACCACGAGGTACGTTTGCTCGAGCGGATCGCGCCTAAAACCGAAAAAAGAGAACTTCGTTAGCTAGAGGAGAGGTTTTCGCGCGTATTTGTTCCGTACAGAATATACAAAGCTTTTATGTTGCTGGTCACAAGTATTAAGACACCTGGAAAACTTCAGTAAATTTTATTTTATTCAGTATTTCGTACGGTGAGAAGAAACCATTGGAAAACATTATCGAATTAAATACAAAGTGAAATAGAAAAAGTGTGTCCTAATACTCACAGTCGACAGTGCATATGTCATGAACCAAATGATTAATAGACCGTTATTTGTGACGCATGGTCGTGCAGTCTGATAAATATAAGGTCAATTTGTTCAACTGACCGGACATTGCGAATAAATCTACATTTGGTTCGGATTGGATTTAGGTATCAATCATTAATCATTAATTATCGTAATCATTAATATTAATATTAATCACTTAATCTACAAATGTATCATCCTAGGTACATGTGTTTGTTAAGATAGAAACGCACACGTCATTCTTCTCGCGAGGAATATCTTACATAGCTGCTGAAAAAAGTTGCGCGCGTTACTGAAAAGAAACTCGTTAGAGAATGAAGACAACTTAGCTGTAAATGAAAAGAGTTTTGCTATAAATAATTAAGTAACATTGGTTCAGTTTTATTTCACATATGCGATAATATTAAATTCTATTTTTTATAATACATGAATATTAAATATAAAAAAAATAATCGTCTATACACGTTAAAAAAGATACAATGAAGAAGATTGCACGTTGTTATG